CAGTTACTTGATGAGATCACCTCTACATAGTTGGACTTTCTTGTAAAGAAGCACAAATGCTCTGGAATCCTGAATCCCTGCGGGTGGAAGCTGTTCTAATGGGTGTCGATATCACGAGGCTCGCTCAGACCGGTGTTGGTGTTCTGGTAGAACCCAGTCTCTCTGATAGAATCATTTCTTGGAAGCCTATCCTCGGAAGGGTGGTAATCCTCCGACTAAAGGTACAACAGAATAAAGCGTTGACTTTGGTACAGGTATATGCACCTAGTCTGGAGGGAGAATATGGTATCTTCATTGAGGGAGTGCCGAATACAGAATCCCTCATATTCATAGGCGATTTCGATGCGCATGTCGGAATAGACGCTGAAAAGTAGAACGGCGTGATTGGAAAAAACGGCCTTAACGACCTCGACAATAACGGCATGAAGTTGTTGCGGTTCTGTGCAAACAACGGATTGTCCATTATGAACACCTTCTTCGAGCATCGAAAGGTGCATCAGTACATCTGGTACCGGGAAGCTTGTGCACAGAAGTCGATGATCGATTTGATAATCGTATCGTCTTACTTATGAGCCTCGGTAATGGATGTTTGCTTTAAGAGAGTTGCAGAGCTAGCAACGATTAACGACCTTGTTGTTAATACACTATGCGGTGAGAAATGGAGTATCATCCGATGATATGGTGGCAGAAACAACCGGAGAATCAAATGGGAAGCATTACCTTCGGTGGAACGAGAGCGAAATTTGTAAACAAATCACATGACGGTTTGGACAGATCCAAGCGATGACAACTGATGGGAAAACCGAGTGGTAGCTCATTAAGATCGGTATATTCGAGGCTGCCGCCGAATGCTGCGGATTTAAACGGGTTGGCCTGCCGCTTGGAGGTCAGAAAAGATCCCCATGGTGGACAAAAGCTGTACAACTGACAGTTAAAGAGCAGAATGCTGTATTCAAGAAATGACTTGGAAACAAAGAATCTTAGATTCTCATACCGTATAGAATCGTTAAGCGTAAGGAGTTCACTTTCAGTTATTAGAAGTTTTATCTCTTTTATTGAGGGTTTTATTCTGTCCTTGTTAAGTTTATGGGGACTTGAATTTCTATGTTGGATATAGTTTCAAGTGGGGAATTTTTATTAATTACATTAAAGTGTAAGGCTTTATTTAAAATAGGTACCATGTCTTTACAGAGTTAGACCTTATGTAGATTACTTACAGTTTTATTGTTATTGCTAGCGTAGAGATTGTTAGGGAATTTACTCAAAAGTTTTAGTCTCTTTGAAAAGGTTTTGTTTTTCTACGTGCACCGCACGTCTCGTGCTTCGAAATTGTAGTTCTGGAGGTGAAAACCATGCAGTTGGTGTCGTTGTTATACTTCAGTGACTACTTTGCATCGTTTGTTTGGTTCGGTTGATTTCTTGAGGATAAGATGCAGCTGTTTGCTTGTATCCTGAAGAGTGGTCTCAGCAACTTCCTTTCCATGACCTTAGGTGCACAGGATTCTTTATCGGAGGTTTCGAGGGTCATGATGGCAGGTTTTTTATTGAAGTTCGAATATTTTATATTTTTCTTTCTTTGTGAAGTAAGAGCAAAAAAATTTCGTTTAAATACAATCATGACATGAACAGAATAATCTAGGCCTGCTGTGCATATTTACTGTTGAATTGAATATGCGGTGTGTAGCATTTCATGCATCGTACCCACTGGATAGCCGATGGCATCTATTGAACTCTAGGAGCGAAATACGCACACAGCATGAAAATCCGATATGCATGTGTAATATATCGGAATATCGTGTCGTCAGGTCATTTGAACTTTCGTGGAATATTTTAGCACGAAATCTGGCTGACGGAATAGGCAGCAGTTAGCTGACACAAAATTCAGGTCATTCCGCTGATTCTGAGAACCCTGAAGGCTTCCGATCCGTGGTAATTGGTCAGCAACTGAAATCCGCTCTTGGAAAGGACCGGCCAGCGCCATGAAAGCATTGTGTTATGCTGAGTGTATTGCACAACATTTCTTTCATGTGTTGCTGTAAACTTTCGTTGACGTTTTCTTGTGTTATAACTCACCAAGCTATACATCGCACGTGAGATAGTTCATCGCCTCCGGTAGTCACCACGCATATATTAATGTCAACAGTTTTAGAGTACAGCAATTTTCTCGAGATGTGCTTAGATCATTTCCTGATATGCTTCCATTTGCTTAGAACCAGTCGATTTATCCTTTGGTGACATTCGCCTCGTCGTTCTTCGATGAGCTCGTCACAATCCCGTATACTGAATTCCGCATAGCAGTGTTCGCATGTGCCAGGTTTACCTGTAGTGCATTATACTGAACAATCCGTTATGCATTGTACTAACCAGGTGTTCCTGGCAAACCCGGAGGTCCACGATCACCATCCTCGCCTGTGTTGCCTCTTTCGCCCTGTGGACCTCTGGGTCCTAGAATTTGGCAGTTCACTTTGTGGGCTATCAATTTTAGAATTTCATTTACCTTTAGGCCCTGTTGGTCCTCGTCTGCCATCGCTTCCTGCAATTTCGTCATTAATATCGTCTAACGAGACAGCAATTCATTACCTGGATTACCGATTGGACCTCGCGCACCCATTTCACCTTGTGGTCCAGTCGCTCCTTGATATTAGCCAGTGAAATTAATGGCAATTTTTACATAACTTCGTACCTTTGGCAGCAGCGTTAATGACTCTCCCTGGCTTTCCTGGTAAACCTTTTGGACCCTGCCAATAAATGTTAATATTATTTAGTTGTACATCCATTGAACTCCTACCGGTTCTCCTGGATCACCTCTAAACTTGTTTTTAAATGAGAATCATCTGAGAATATGTGACATATACCTTTCTCCCTGCGGTCCTGGTGGACCTTTTCTGCCTTTCACTCCCATTTTTCCTTTTGGACCCTGCATAAAGTTGAAAGATGTTTTAATATTGGGTTGAACATAAGTTTTACCCGTTTTCCAGGCAAACCTGTTTCTCCTTTCAGTCCCGGTTCCCCAAAATTTCCTTCAAACAGAATTAGCGTCACATACGAAAATAAAATCATTTAGAAACGCCTTCCCTGGTGGTCCCTGAGGACATTTGTTGCATGACTCTATAAGACGAATGGACCTGATCAATTTTCGGATAGGATAAAGACACGATGTTACCTTCTGGGT